TCTGTATCATCTACGGGCCTTCGTGAGTCAGCCAGGACTTCCACAAAACTCCCCAAAAATTCCCATTTAATTTCTTATGCCAACCCGTGGTATATCGAAACCTCAATGGGGAAAGTCTCAATGTGGAAGGGATGACTATATTTCTTTCTAACAGAGGCATCAGCCAAGCAAATTATCAGCCACAAAATGACCTTGAACACTTTTATTTCTTTTTGCTAATTCACCTTAAAATGTAACTGCGATCTGAAGAAGGAAAATAATTGCCTTATACTATTCTTTTTATTTGAGGTCACAAAAAGTGAATCTAGGACCCTGGTAAGGCCATAGTAAATTGCACCTAGTAATATCTGTTAAAGAAAAGCTGAAGTCCAATTTAGGACTGGGATATTTATGTGAGCCAGTCCTTCCATAAGAATGCCTTGTTTTCAATTTTGAAAAACTGAAGAACTCAGATAAACACAATGACCAACAATGATTCAGGGCTAGCACAGAAACTTGTACATAATAGGTACTTAATAAGTGCTTCTTATCTTGAAATGCTCGTTGATTCCAAAGGATCTGTATGGAAGCATACTACCTACTTCCTGACAGAGAAGTGTTGAATTCAGGGTGCAGATTGAGACATTACATATTTTGGGGGGGGGCAGCTAGGTAGCGCAGTGGATAGAGCACCGACCCTGGATTCAGGAGGACCTGAGTTCAAATCCAGCCTCAGATACATAACACTTACTAGCTGTGTGACCCTGGGCAAGTCACTTAACCCCATTGCCTAACCAAAAACAAACAAACATAACGTAACATATTTTATTGGACACAGCCAATGATGGAATTTGTTTCGCTTGACTATGCATATTTGTCACAAAAGTTTTGCTTTACTTTTTTTCTCTTCCAATGTGGGTGAGGGGGTAGGACGGAGAGAAAATAGATTTTTGTTTATTGAAAATAAGTTTAATTTCAAAAAATTAAAAATAAAAAGAATGGTCTTTTTCATATGGACCGTTGACTAACCAGTAATTCTGTACTTTGGCAGCTGATATTTTTTGAATCACCCATTTTCCGATACCATTCTCTCCAAAATTTCCAAATGACCTCTGAATCACCATATCTAACGGCCTTTTCTCAATCTTTATTCTTCTTGACCTCTTTAGTGAATTTAACACCTTTTTACTACCCTGTCTTCCTGTCTTTCCTCTCTGGGGCTTTTTGGACAGTATTCTGTCCTGATTCTTCTTCTACCTGTCTAATCACTCCTTCTCAGTCTCCTATTCTGGTTCATCAACCATATCACGTTCACCACCCCCGCCCCCCCAGTGGAGAGGGAGCAGACTAGGAAAATAACTCTTGTACTTGTTTTATTTTTAATCTCTCTATCCCCAGCACCTAACACAATGTCCAACACATTGTAAGGGCTTAATAAATGCTTGGTGATTTGTTGTCTATTTTTCCCCTGAGTGGAAAGATTAGCCAGTTAAGCCACTTTAAAAAAAAAAAAAAAAAGATAAAGGAGCTATGAGAAGTGCTGTGGTAGATTGGGGCTTTTGATTTTTATTCCTGTCTCATTATTTTAGAAAATGGAGCTTGTGTCCACAGCTGTGTGACCTCATTCACAATTCACTTTGGAAAGATAAGCAAAGAGTTCCATTGCAGAGTAACTCTCAGAAGTCAGTCCAGGAGTAAGTTCCAAGGATCTACAGACAGTTCAGCAACTTCAGATCAGCCATCTGGCCTTCTGGTTTATGAGCCTTCTATAGCCTCTGCAGAATGTTTTGCACATCACTGATTTCCATCTCCATAAAACCAGCTCTGCTTATATGCTTCTTTTATAAAAACCATTAATAAGATAAATGCTTAGAAGAACGCCCAAGGTATATTAGTGTAGAAGTAAAAAGGCTCACACAGAACCTCCCAAGTGTTGATGAGAGAACCATTTGGATTAGCAAGGATGCCCCTTCCAGCATACTGCATTCAAAATGGAAAGGAAGTAGACCTATATTAACTAACGCTGTCCATCATTAGCAAGTTGAAGTCTTGGGAAAATTCACAGAAGCTGTATGAGTGAGAAAGTGAAGCTATGGGGTAGTTAGGTGGTGCAGTGGATAGAGCACCAGCCCTGAAGTCAGGAGGACCTGAGTTCAAATCTGGCCTCAGACCAAACACTTGACACTTACTAGCTGTGTGACCCTGGGCAAGTCACTTAACCCCAATTACCCAAAAACAAAACAAAGAAAAAAAAAAACTCTGAAAAAAGAGGAAGTGAAGCTATGTTGTTGTTGTTGGGGGGTTAGGTGATGCAGTGGATAGAGTGCTGGGCTTGGAGCCAGGAAAACTCATCTTCCTGAGTTTAAATCTGGCCTCAGACACTTACTGTGTGACCTTGGGCAAGTCACTTAACCCTGTTTGCCTCAGTTTCCTCATCTGTAAAATGAGCTAGAGAAGGAAATGGCAAAACACTCCATTATCTTTGCCAAAAAAACCCTAAATGGGGTTACAAAGAACCACTGAAACAACTGAACAATAACAACAACAACAAAGTCCCTTCCAGGTCTAAATCTGTGAATGTTCCTTGCCATTTTCCTTATATGGATTATTATTTTCCCTTGGGAGGTGCCTCAGAGGCAGCTTGGTGTAGTGGATAGAGAGCGGGCCTCAGAACCAGGGTCTGAATCCAACTTCTAACACCATCTGACCTCTTAACATACACTGTCTCTGTGACCCTGGGCAAGTCACTTAACCTTGAAGTGCTCTAAGCAACTCTGTAAGACTGTAAATTGCAGAGAAAGTAGAGGGAATTTATTCATCTCAGTGGCTTCTGTGCCAAAGAAATCACGGCTACAGTCCTGTCCTTAGATAGATGGCTTCTTAAAATGTACACAGTATAATCTCATTTATCTAGATGAATCAGGACCAGAAATGGTCCAAATATAAGAAAAGCTCTATAATTTGGGGAAATATTTTTACAACCTTTCCTCTCACTGGGCTCTGATAATTAGAGGATTTAGATGAAGTATGTTTAGCATACAAAGGCATTTCTTATAACCCTGCAGATACTCTTTATTGAATCAGCCTCACTTTTGACTTCCTGGTTGATCTCAAAATTCTAAGTTAGCAGCCAGGTGGCACAGTGGATAGAATATTGACCCTGGAGTCAGGAGGACCTGAGTTCAAATCTAGCCTCAGATACTTACTAGCTATGTGACCCTGAGCAAGTCACTTAACCCCATTTACCTCAAAAAAAAAAAATCCCAAGTCACATGGGGTTTGCTTGATCCTACAAGTTTAGAAGACTAATCCTCTAGAAGATACCATAAAATTATATGAAATTCATATCAGAGATCATCTTATTTACCAGACTCATTCTACAAATGAGGAAATGGAGGCCCAGAGATTGGGAAGTGACTTTCCTAAGGTCACACAGGTAAGGAATAGCCAGCCAAGATATGAATGCAGGTCCTCTGACTCCAAATCCAGGGTTCTTTCTGCTACAACTTGTACCTGAGTATGAATTCCCCTCAATAGTATTTCCAATAAATGGCAATCCAGTCTCCTACTGAAGACCTTCAGTGATGGAAGACTTAACTCTAGGAAGCCCATCCAACTTTTGGACACCCACAATCATTAGGAAGATTTTCCCTATAGGAATCCAAAATCTGCCACTTTAAATGCCCTCTTGGTGCTCCTATTTCTGCCCTCTGGGCTAAATAGCCCAAATCTAATCCATTCTCTATATGACAGCCCTTTAGATACTTAAAGATAATTGTGGTACCCCTCATAAGCTTTCTCTTCTCCAAACAAAGCATCATGGATCCTTCCAACTTGATATGGCTTCTAGGCACTATCACTATCCGAGCTGACTTCTTTGGAGTGAACACCAATGTGTGAATGAATCACTCCTAAGTGGCACAGAATATAGAGTGCTGGGGCAGGAATCCAAGGGACTCATCTTCCTGAGTTCAAATATGGCCTCATACACTTACTAGTTATGTGACCCTGGGCAAGTCACTTAACCCTGTTTGCCTTGGTTTCCTTATCTGCAGAATGAGCTGGAAAAGAAAATGGCAAACTACTCCAGTATCTTTGCCAAGAAAGGGTCACAAAGGGTTGGACACCACTGAAATGACCTTACAACAACAACAGCAATTCATTATGTGGTTTAACTAAAGCAGAGCATATCAGGATGGTCACCTCCTTATTCTAGATTCTATGCTTCTCTTAACGTAACCTAAAATCACATTAGCTTTTTTTGACTACCATGTCACGTAGGTAACTCAGAGTTTACGGTCCACTAAAATCTTCATGTCTTCATAAGCTGTTGTCCAGTTATGTCTCCTGTATTTTTGCTATTGACTTTTTTGAATCACGTAACTGAAATTGCACCCTCCAAGGGTTACCATTGATACCTTAATCGCCATATATGACGTTCTTTTCTCAGTTGCTCTCATTCTTTTTTCTTTCTTTTAATTTTATTAATTTTAACTTATGAAATAAAACAAGCATTTCCATAACATAGTAGAATTAAAAAAAAGGTGATTGCACATGAAATTGCAAATCTATTATGTACAACTTGCTATTCCTTTTAAATATATAATAAAGTCATCATATAAATTTTCCCCCTTTTTTTCTTCCCTCCCTGCTTGTTCTTGACTTTAAATTCTAATACATGTGGCACTGTTGACCACTCTCTTCTCCAGGACGCAATCTTTTCCTGGTTCTTTTCCTACTCATCTCACTCCTCAGTTTCCTTTGTTAGCTAATCCATATCATGCCCCCCTAACAATCAAACAAAATATTGACCCTCTAGAACTGACTAACCTCCTTCCAAGCCATGGGTTTTCAAGACTATGAAAAGCTGCGCATAGCCATTCCACTTGTGACTAGTGACAAATGTCTGCCTAGATGCCTTAGACAATTAGGTCCCTCTGCTACCAAAAGGAGACTTCAAAGACAGAAAATCGTTGTTCTAGTGTCCTTTTCTTAAGCCGTTTTTCTCTTTTGTTAAACAGGAGCAGTTTCCCAGCAGACTGCAACAGAGCCATCAACCCACTCTCACTCTGAGCCAGGTATGATCTTCTTTCAATTCCTTGCTATTAATGTGGCCACAAATTGATTTTGTGGGTCAGTAGGAGAAAGGGAGGGAAATGAAGGTCAAGGATATGTGGGAGTAGGGGGAAAGGAGGTTTGGACTGGGGAAGGTGAGACCATGCTGAAGGAAAATGCGTTCTTCTGCTATTTAGTGAGACAATGGGGCAGCAAGTTCCCTGGGTTTCTATTTCTATCAGAAGCAAAGAAGTAGGAAACCTAATCTGTAACATTGTAGGGCTGGGGCCCCAGCTCTTTCTGAGATTTCAGAGGGTCAGGTTCAAGATCCACAGCGACTGGATTCCACTATGTAGAGTTTATCCAAATGACAAACTTGTCTTGCCAAGTAGGCCATGACCAGACCCTATCGGCATACTCACACAGAGAATGTCAGATTTATGCTGAGGGTGTAAAGGAGTCTGAAAACGATTCCATTGCAAATGTCCCCTTAACCCTAATGGAAGAAGGATTGAAGATTCAAAGGGGAGCCAAGTTTAATTTTTATTACGAATAGGCAGTAGCTATTGGTTAGAGAAATGCACATTAAAACAACTCTAAGGTACCACCTCATACTTATCAGATTGGCTAATATGACAGAAAAGGAAAACGATAAATGTTGGAAAAGATATAGGCAAATTGGGACACTGTTGCATTGTTGTGGAGTTGCAAATTGATCCAACCATTCTGGAGAGCAATTTGGAACTATGCCCAAAGGACGATCAAACTGTGCACACCCTTTATCCCAGCAATATCACTACTAGGTCTATATCCCAAAGAGATCATAAAAAAGGGAAATGGACCCACATGCACAAAAATATTTATAGCAGCTCTTTCTGTGGTGGCAAAAAATTGGAAATTGAGGGAATGCCCATTAATTGGGCAATGACTGAACAAGTTGTAGTATATGAATATAATGGAATACTATTGTGCTATAAGAAATGATGAGCAGGCAGATTTTGGAAAAACCTGGAAAAACTTACATGAATTGATGCTGAGTGAAGTGAGCAGAACCTGAACATTGTACACAGTAACAATAATACTATGCAATGATCAACTATGATTGACTTAGCTCTTCTCAGCAATACAACGATCCAAGACAATTCCAAAAGACTCATGATGGAAAATGCAATCCATATCCAGAAAAAGAACTATGGAGTCTGAATGCAGATTGAAGCATACTGTTTTCACTTTTTCTGTTTTTTTTGTTTTTTGTGGCTTTTCCCTTTTGCTCTATTTCTTCTTTCACAACATGACTAATATGGAAGTATGTTTCCATGATTGCACATGTATAACCTATATCAAATTGCTTGCTGTCTTGGGGCAGGGGGAAGGAAGGAAGAAAATTTTGGAATTCAGAATCTTATAAAAATGAATGTTGAAAACTATCTTAACATGTAAATGGAAAAATAAAATACTATTCACAAAAAAAGAATAGACAGTAGCCAAAATTCACCTAAGATTCAAAAGCTTGAAACTGTAGAGGACAATTATAGGAGGTTGAAGTACTAAGATCCTGATTCTGATCATTCTGAAAATACTCAGGCTGTTCTCAGTAGAGCTGCTGGAAAAATCATTCTCTCATTTTAGTACTTCCACTTTCAAAACAGGAAAATCAGGCCGTGGCCCTAAAGTAAATTGTTGGTAATTCAATGCAAGATGAAGCAATGGATAAAAGGACTAAGGGAGAAAACAAGGGAAAGATGCCTACTGATATAGGACATAAAGGAAAAATATAAGATAAGACCCCCACCCTTAAGTGACTTATAATCAAGCTAATGATCAAGATCAGCATGCACAAAATGAATGTTCAGTCATTTCAGTCACGTCCAACTCTGTGACTCCATTTGGGGTTTTCTTGGCAAAGATGCTGAAGTGTTTTACTGTTTCCTCCAGTTTATTTTATAGATGAGGAAATTGAGGCAAGCAAGGTTAAGTGACATGCCCAGGGTCACACAGCTAATCAGTGTCTGAGGGCTAGATTTAAACTCAGGTCTTCCTGACTCCAGACCAGCGTTCTATCTGATGAGCCATCTAGCTGCCTCTATGAAATAAATAGAGGACATCTAACAGTGCTAAACTAGTATTGTTCTGACTCTAAATGCAACTGTGGGGTTGAGTAGTAGGAGAAGTCTTCATGGATGAGGTGGACTTTGAGATGGGCCCTGAAGGACAGACAGAATTTGGATTTTATAGAGAGTAAAGTTTAAACTACTTTACTTGGTGTTCAAGACCCATCTCAATCTGGCACCACTTTATTCTGGCAACTTTTCCTCCTTATTTTTCCCCCTCCACACATTCTACAATATAGCCAAACGTGATTGCATAAAACTCACCAAACATGCCCCACACCATCCCGTGTCTGACTTCTCTCACACTGTTCCTGGCATCCAGAATGTCTTCCTCTCTACTGCTCATCTCTTGAGTTCCTAACTATCCTTTCAAGTCACATTCAAAGATTACCTCCATCTTTCCTGATCTTTCCAAGTGGTAATAAATTTCCCCTTGAGCCATTAAACAATATTCTTTTCACTTATCATGAAATATTGGGTTGTATAGTTATTTCTGTGTATGTGTCTCATCCCTTTATTAGACTCCAAGGTCCATGATGGAAGGGGCCACATCTTATGTAAGTCTTGTATGTCTCCTAGTGCCTAGCATAATTTTTTGCATATAGGGTTTTGAATGAGAAAATGAATGATGAATGAGGCAACATATAGTATGAGGAAAGGCATAGAGATGGAAATGAGTATGGGATGTATGCTGGGGATAGTGAGGAGACCATCCTGACAAAGGGTAAGCATGCATGTTAAAGAATAATGTGGGGATAGCTAGGTGGCACAGTGGATAGAGCACCGGCTCTGGAGTCAGGAGGACCTGAGTTCAAAACACAGCCTTACTAGCTGTGTGACCCTGGGCAAGTCAGTTTACCCCAAATGCCTCACACACAAAAAAGAAAGAAAGAATAATGTGAAATGTAACATAGCAGGGTCAGATTACAAAAGGACTTGAAAGAAAGTCTGAGAAATGTGGACATCATATGTGGTAGGCTATTCTCTCTATCTTTCACTCAGTCACAGTGCTCTGAAAGTATGGTGTGATGTTCAAAGAAAGCAAAAAACCTGTCTACAAACCTTGCCAGTTCCCTTCCTATGTTTTCATCCATGATATATTCCATCTATGTCAGAACCATTCTCATTAAAATTTTATAAAGATGATAAATTATCTGTATCAGCTAATAGATACTCATATCTTCTTAGTTGATAACATTTACAATAGCTACCAATTAGTGTTGTTGTGAGAAAAGTGTTTTGCTAAATGTACAGCATTTTATAAATGTGAGTTACTGTATCATTGTATGAGCTGTGAGAGTATTCTAAGTCCATTTGCTACATATTAGTTTTGTTATATTCTTTCAGCCTAACCATTTGCTGTGGTTTTGCCCCAATTCTTCATGACTCTATTTGTGGTTTTCTTGGCAAAGATACAGGAGTGGTTTGCCATTTCTTTCTCCAGTTCATTTCAAAGATGAGGAAACTGAGGCAAACAAAGTTAAGTGACTTACCCATGGTCACACAACTAGTTAATGTCTAAGGCCAGATTTGAACTCAGGAAGATGAGTCTTCCTGACTCTAGGCCTAGTGCTCTCCTATGTCACCTAGGAGCCTAACCATATGGAGTGCCAAAGAATATGTTGGGAATGTAATAAGGCCAAGAGTGGTGACACATGCATGTAATTTCTGCTTTAAAGGGAATTTGGGCTAGGGGATCACTTGAACTTAGGAGCTCTGAGCTGCAGTGGATTAAAGTTAATCAGGTGTCCACAATAAGTCCAGCACCAATATGTTGAGCCACAGGGAGCAGGGGGCCTCAAGATTACCTAAGGAGGGGTGAACCAGTCCAGGTTAGAAAAAGGAATCAGGCTTGTAACTGGCCACTGCACTTCCAACTTGAGCAAGAAAGGGAGATACAGCCTCCAAAAAAGATGGGATGGAAGAATTGCATGGCATTGGTGACTATAGGCAAATGAAAATTTGAAGAACCAATAGTGTTTACAATTTGAATAATTGTTGACAGCAAGTTATAAAACTGCTTTCATGGAAAGTACCCTGTGGATAAGTAAATTTCTTGTCCAGATATCCTACAAATGAAGATTGTATGTCTATCACAGACAACCCCGTCTCTTATCCCCAAAGAACAAAAAGACTCAAAGCTATACTTCTCCTCCCTGATTTCTCTAGGTGAGGGCCTTTTTAGAGGTATTAATCCTATTTTCATTAGCTTTTTCTTTTGTCTGGATTGACCGTAGGTCAGGTTATTACAATGTTAGGAAAACATAGTTGGGGAGGAGAAGCAAGCAGTTAACAGAGTGTCTGGTCAGGGTCCCTTTCTCCCCACACTATAATTAGGGTCGAGACCTATGAAAATCCCCTTTTTTTCTTCTTAGTCCTCAAGGAGTACCATTTATCCTTCTCTTTCAACAGATACTTCAGACATAGTAATTAACAACAATTTAATGTGAACACACTCTTTTCAGCTATTTCCACAGCTGAGATACTTTAACCTTTCAAAATAGCTACCATACTTCATAAAAATGTATTTATAATCCTTTACATTCAATGCCGATAAAACATTACCACTGGAGAGCCATTAAGACTAACATTTTCCTAGGGCCATTAGAGCCATTTTAACCTTTATCATTTTCCATTTCATTATTGACTTTATAGTGATGTTTCAAGGCAACCTCTTCTCAATAAAGTCACTTATGCTACTCAAAGAAAGTTATCCTTTCAAATGTGGTGGTGCACATCTATAATCCCAGCTACTCGAAAAAGTGAGACTCATGGCTCTCTTGAACTGGAGAGTTCTACAGTGGGCTTTGAAGTTCAGGTATCCAAACTAAGTTTGGTACTAAGATAGTGAGCCCTCAGAAGCAGTGGGCAACCAAAGAAGGGGTCAAGAAAATAGAAATTGGCCAGAAACAGAACAAGTCTAAGCTCCCTTGCTAATCAGTAGTGGGACTGGGCCTGTAAATACTCCCTCTCCGTCCAACTAAGGAGTCTCAGTCATTTAAAAAAAAATTATCCTAATTGAATTACAATCTGTCCTTGACATTGAGTACCACTTCTAGGCCCTCATACATATCTGTTGATTACTGGATTATACACATGCCCTCAAGTATTAAAAATAAGCACAAAAATAAATTTTCCCAACTAAATTCTTTGTGTCATCTCCACAACTATGAAAACATTTACATAACACTCAAAATCCTATTAAAATCATACCATTGTAACAAATTTGTTTACCTGCCTATGCTGTAAGTCATTATAACGCTCATTAATATTAATAATGTTCTCTTTTTCTGCACTCCTGGCAATCTCATCAGCTCTCACACATTTAAAAATCCCTCTGCAGATGATTCATGGTCACTATACCGTGATGATTAAAAAAAATTCCAAGAGACATAGTTTCTGGGTAATTTAATGATTTTATTAATAAAGTCAACAAATTTATTAATAAAAGGATGGTTATTTGGCCATCTCTCTTAGGCCAAAGACTCTTCATGGTAGACTCACGTTTATATGCCCTTCAAAGAGTAGGTGTTTCTGAGGGGTACCAATCAACTCTGACCAATTAACACAATGGGAAGTGGGCTATATCAAAATGACTTGGATCACCCAAATCTTGGTCAAAGAGACATCAATTTCCATATCACCTGTCTTGACAAAAGGGAGAATCAACATTTTCCCAGAGCTGTCTGAGCAAACACAATGAGCAAAAATACACCCATTAGCTCAAACTTAGAATTTTTTTTACTATCTGATTAAATTTGACCTGAGTAAATCTTTAAAGAGATTTCCCACACTGGTTGGTTTCTGGATAAGGAAGTAGAAAAGGAAAAAAAAAAAAAACTTTGGTCCTAATACAATAATTAATTATTAAATACAAAAGAGAAATATATTCATTTCTCACAATATCTAATGCTAATTTTTCCCTGAGCTGTAATCCCACATCACCAACCATTTACTGGATATGTAAACTCAAGATGTCCAAAACTGAACTCATTCTCTTCCTCTACAAACCTACCATTTTACCGAACCACTCCCCTCTGTTGAAGGTACCAATATTCTTACAGTTTTCCTGGTTCGTGATGTCTGTGTTATATTTGATTCTTCAATCTCCATCACTTCACTTTTCCAACCATTTGCCAAATCTTATTATTTCTACCTCCACAATATCTCTCATATCCAGCTCCTCTCTACTCCTACAACTACCCCCCTTCGTTGACGACCTCATCACTTCTTGTTCAGACTATTGCAAAAGCCTCCAAATTTGTCTCCTTGCCTCAAGTGTCTCTCCATTACAATTCATTCTCCTCAAAGATGCCCAAGTAATTTTCTGTAAGCACAGATCTGACCTTGTCATTATCCTACTCGATAAAGTCCTGTGGCTGCACGTTACTTCTAGGAGAAAACATTTATTTTTCTGTTTGGCTGTTAAAGCCCTTCACAACCTGAGCATGACCTATCTTTCTAGTCTCATTTTACCTTACTTCCCTTTCTCCACTCAACAATCTAGCCAAATGAGCGTTCTCTCTGTTCCTCACATGTATCTTTCCTGATACAATGTAACCTTTGTGAGAGTAGTTATTTTTCTTATTTTTTGTCTTTGTATTCCCAGAGCTTAGCACATAATGTTGCTGTTGTGTCTGACTCTTTGTAACCCCATATGGGGTTTTCTGGGCAAGGAATTCAATAATTTGAGTCTTTCTGATTCTAGTCCCAGCACTCCATCCACCTAGCTACCACCTAGTACCTAATAGGTAGTTAAATGCTTGTTGATCAATTAATTGAAAATATGCTATATATGGAAAGAGAGATGTGCATCATATAGACGAGGTGATAAACAGTATAATTGTGGCCTCCGTAGATCTGGGGGGAAATCCCATAATTTTATTTCTATTGCATTTTGCACCTCCTTCTCTCTGTAAATTGAAAGGCATTGCTGAGTAATAGATAAATTATTAAGTAAAGATGTTGATTTTTACCAATTGGAGACTTTGTTCTACACTCTTAAAATTACTAAATCACATTAGAATTAATAGAGACTTCAATTTAATCAGAGAGGAAAAGACTCTGATGAATAAACTAAAGCTCAACCAAAAAGAAAAATCCAACAAAGAAAATATCAATTTTCTGGGCTGCCTTAATTAAATAATTAAAATAAAATACTGTAGTGAAAAAGCTTTGAAATGTGAAAAGTCCTATGGAAATTCAGGCTATTGTATTCATGATTATAAATTACACGAACATAATAGCTGACATTTCTATAGGATTTAAGGTCCACAAAGTGATTTACATTTGTCAACTCATTTGATCCTCTCAGGGTGCCCTCTCCAGTCCTCCGGATCTATATCTCGCCACTGGACCCAGATGGCTCTGGAGGAGAAAGTGAGGCTGGTGACATTACACAGCCCTGTCTCACTTAAATCCAATTCACTTGCAAGTCATGACATCACCTCCCCGATGTCATGGTCCTCTAGTATAATGAAGGACAAACAACAACAAGATCCTCTCAGCTTCCTTGGGAGGTAGTATTGCTATTATCTCCATTTTACAGATGAGAAGAATGAGCCTAAAAGAGCTTAAATGACTTGCTCAGGGCCACATAACTAATAAGTGTCTGAGGCAGGAGTGGAGCTGAGGTCTTCCTCACCAAAGTCCAGCTGTCTAGCAATAATAAGCATAGGATATCAATAGAATTCAAAGGCCAAAAGAGAATTCAAAAGACATAATAAGCCTGGCTCGTTTAGGTAGGTTTGAGACCTGACTTCATGTTTCCATTGAAGTTTTTTTTCTCCTTTTTAAAATTTTTTTAAATTTTTTTCAGATTTTATTAATTTACTTATTTTTAGTTTTCAGCATTCACTTCCACCAGATTTTGAGTTCCAAATTTTCTCCCCATCTCATCCCTCCCCCCACCCCAAGATGGCATGCATTCTGAATACCCCTTCCCCTAATCTGCCCTCCCTTCTATCTCCCCCCTCCCTTCTCTTAACCCCTTCCCCTTCAATTTTCCTATAGGGTGGGATAGATTTTTTTTCTCCTTTTTCAAGATGGTAAAGGTTGGAGGATTGAGGGTAGGTAAGGGTGATAATTAATCTATTTCTTACACCATTTCAATTGAATGCATTTATGTCTTTTTTTTTTATTTCCCCCAGATAGTAGCTCCTCAGGGAAAGATACAGACAAGAAAATGGGAAATTATATTCCTGAGTCAAAGAGCAATCGATTAAGAGAACACCCAATCCCAGAAACAGGTAAGAAATATTATAATATCTGCATTTTAGTAAAAAAAAAACAGTAATTCACACTCATATCTGGGAGATGCTTTGTAGAACCTAAAGTCAAGAAGATCTGGGTTCAGCCCTACTTCATGTACTTACTGGTTTTATGATCTTGAGCAAGCCCCTTAAGCTCTAGAGCCTGGGTTTCCTTCTCGGTAAAACTGAGATAGTACTTGCGCTGCCTTCCTCACAGGGTTATTCTGAGTATCAAATGAGATAATAGCTGTAAATCACTATGTACAACATGAAGCTTTATGTAAATGTTAGCTATGAGGAAAACACAAGCATGAAAACGTTATAGAAACATGAGTTGTTATTGTGTAGTAAAAAGACAACTAATCTTTCAGGAGGCTAGAACTCTAGCCCTGATTCTGCCTTAGAGTGGTTTTGCGATTTTGGGCAAGTCATTCCATCTCCAAGTCTCAGTTTTCTCATTTGTAAAACAGTGATCATAATATTTGCACTACCTGTGAAGTAGTGCAAATGCTCTCTAAATTATAAAACCATAGAAGACTATATAATTGTTAGCTTTTGATATTAAGATAGGATGCAAGAGCTAGAAGGCTGGAACACTGGAGAGATTGATTTGGAGAAGGGGGACTTGGGCTCAGCAATACTCCTGCTGCTCCCTCTTTGAAGGACCTTGGGCAACTCATTTCATGTCCTTGAGCCTCAGTTTCCTCTTCTGTAAAATGAAGGGGGAGGAGCATCTCCAGTCATCCTGATCCATATCTTGCTGCTGGACCCAGATGGCTCTGGAGGAGAAAGTGATACCGGTGACTTTGCACAGACCTCCCTCACTTAAATCCAATTCACTTGCAAGTCACAGCATCACCTTCCTGATGTCATAGTCCTCTTCGATAACAAAGGACAAACAACAAAATTAAGAGTTTAGCTTAGGTGTCCTGTATGGTCCTTTTAAGCTCAAAATATAGGACTACCTCTATATTTTTACAGAAGTTCAGAAAAGTTAAGTGATTCTCCCAGGATGATAAGCCCTAATAGTCTATAATTCTCTAAGTGAGGAGAGATCATTAATTTGGGGGCAGGGAAAAGAGGAGGAGGAAGATTATATAATGTCAAGCTTGTAGACTGACTAATTAAGAAAACATTTTACTTTAACCTTGGATTGTCAGTGCTGAATTATCAATGATATGTGCACATTGGCTAAATCTAGATAGGTTGGGGCTCTAGAGCTAACTTAAATTTTCACTATGAGAATTTACCCTTCAGAAATTGACAGACAAACACATTTTGATTTCTAAGCACAAAATAAAATCCACTGACCTAGGGTAGGAGAAATGGAGGTCATCTACAGTTGTGCCATAGTTTGAGAACAAAAAATATTTCCTCAGCTGCCGTGTGACTGACGAGTAGAATTTAGTTTCACAGGAGGTCACTTAAAAAAATAACTCGGTTTGGGAGAAGCAGGTACGTTTTAGTTTTCAAGTTATACAAGCTGAAAAAAAAATTTAATAAGCTATATTCCTAACTGGCCATCTAGGTTCTGAGAGTTCAGTCTAATCCTGAAAGCAATTATTAGGCACCTAGTATACGCAATACACTGTACCAGGCACTTGGGTTACAACAACAAAACAAAAAGTAGTTCCTGGGGCAGCTAGGTGGTGCAGTTGATACAGTACTAGCCTTGGAGTCAGAAGGACCTGAGTTCAAATCTAGCATCAGACACTTGACACTTACTAGCTGTGTGACCCTGTACAGGTCACTTAACCCCATTGCCTAGCAAAAAACAGAACAAAACAAAAAAATTGTTCTTGTCCTTAAGAAGCTTACACTCTACTGCAGAATACCTTATGTCACAGTTAGGAATTATTTTCACTGAAACTCACAGGAGGACGTTTCTGACCCAAGCATTCTATGAGATTTCACTTTCCTTGATATCAAAGAATGGTCTCAGCTCTGATTTGTCAAATCAGAGGGTTTGTCGAATCACCTGTTTTACTGTCACTATACCAAAGGGAATTTCCCTGCATAACTTTCTCATTCTGATCCATGTTGTGAGTTCAGTATCTCAATTACCTGAATTATCAGGTAGGAGTCTACAGTTCCTGGCCTCCCCACCCCCAGACTTCCTCCATTCAGGAGGCAGGCACTGTGGGCTTCCTCTCTTATTCCCCTCCCCACCCCAGACAACCTGCCTGACTGCTAGGGCCCCGATCCCAAAGTGAAGCCCCATCAGGAGCAAGTACCTTAGAAAGTTCTACATCCCCATCTCCAACACACACAAACAACCTTCCTGCTGATTCTTTTTTCCCCTACCCTTTTCCCTGTCCTGGCTGGACTGACACCCCATACCCTCCCCTGAGGAAGGAAACCCAGAATATCCAGTCTACTTCACCCCTCTGGCCTACTCCCTCCTTCCCAATCCTCCACTCTTGCCAGATAGACTTGGCCATTTGGATGGGCAAGGGGTCATCAACTATAATTCCTCCTGTAAGATGGAGAAGCACCAACCTTTACCAGCTGCCCCGCCAATACAACTTCCAAGCTCCCAGACACGGATAATCTGACTTCCAAGATACCCCAAAGACACCTGGAGCCTCCATGCTTTCTGTAGCTGCATCCTTAGAACCACTGGCCTGGTCAGCCCTGAAGCAAAACTGTCCTATATTTGGTGTCTCCCCCAGTTAGAATCTGAGCTCCTTGAGAGAAGGGACTGTTTCACTCTGCTATTTGTAGCCCTTAACACCGTGCTTGGCTTAGTAATAGGGACAGGATGTTCCCCTTATGACTTCATTAATATAAGGAACTCTCCAGTGAGGAAGCTTCCTTAGCTAATGCAAGTTGACATTTTCTCTGTACCTTGTATAGTCCTCAAGCATTGCCTAGAGGTTAAGTGATCTATCCAGGGTCACATAGACAGTGTGGGACAGAAACAGGACTTAAACCCAAATTTCCTTGACTTCAAGGTAGGTGTCCTATCCACCTATAACCATAAATCCAAGTTCCCTATGCATCTTGAGGCAACTAGGTGACACAGTAGATAGAGTGCTGGGCCTGGAGTCAGGAAGACCTTGGTTCAAATCCAGCCTCAGACATTTACTAGCTGTGTCACCTTGTGCTTAACCTGTTTGACTCAGTTTACTCAACTGCAAAATGAGAATAATAGTAGCACTTTCAAAGAAAGTGATCCATTTCAGTAGCTCCAATGATTACTTCAAGAAACAAGTCTAGTGATCCATTTAACTCTGATCCATTCACAAAAAAACCCATCCTTATCTTCAAAACCTGACCCCTTTGAAGTCAGTGATCCTTTTTCATCCACTAGTATCTCTTCAAAAGTAACACTTACCTCTTCAATAGTAGCACTTACCTCAAAGGTTGAGGAAGTTGTGGAGATCAAATGAACTAAAGTTCGTGAAAAGTACTTGTAACTGTTGAAACCAGAGCAATGAAATGAACAGCATGGATCCAGGGGCCAATGATGCTGTATTCTACCTATCTCCTGACAGAGGGATGATGGACACAAGATGCAGAATGATATAAATATATATTTTATATACACGTATATCATACATCTATGTATATATTTGAATGTGGCCAATGTACAGATTTGATTTGCTATGCTAATTTGTCACAAAGGAAGAATTTCTATTTGCATGTGGTATTGATGAGGGGGTTGGGGCAGCTAGGTGGTGCAGTGGATAGGGCACTGGGTTTGGAATCAGGAAGACTCATCTTCCTGAGTTCAAATGCAGCCTCAAGCACTTACTAGCTTTGTGACCCTGGGCAAGTCACTTAACACCACCTCAGTTTCCTCATCTGTAAAAATGAGCTGGAGAAGGAAATGGCAAATCACTCTAGTAGCTTTGCCAAGAAAACCCCAAATGGGGTCATAAAGAGTGGGACATGACTGAAAAACAACAGTTGATGGCAGTGACATGGGAATGAAGCAAGTATTTTTAATGATGTCCAAAAAGAAGCATAGAAAAGAAAGAAAAGAGAATAATTGAGGCATGTAAAAAAAAAAGTATAAACAGGAGCAGCTAGGTGGCGAGTGGATAGAGCACCAGCCCTGAAGTCAGGAGGACCTGAGTTCAAATCCAGCCTCAGACTAAACATTTGACACATACTAGCTGTGTGACCCTGGATAAGTCACTTAACCCCAATTGCCTTTAAAAAAAAAAGCATAAACAGAAAACTTAGGAGACCCAGACAAGCAGTATAGCTTTAAGATGATCATGTTGAATTCATTATATGCTTTTTTTTAAAAAGGACAAGTTTTTGGTAATGGAGATTCCCATTCTCCAATGCAATCTTCTTTATCTGTTCCTTGCAAATAGAAATGCTGCTGTTAATTGGTGTATGTCAAATACAAAGTAATAAAAAATTTTTAATTTAAAATTTATTTTTTAATTTTTTAATTTATATATTATATATAAAAATTAATTTAAATTTATTTTTAAAATTTAAAAATAAAAGTGCTTTGCAAGCTTTAACTTTCTATATACATGTCACCTTTATTATTACATACCCCACAGGATTATTAAGGAAAGTACTTTGTAAAGTACTATAAATATGAGCTCTTGTTATTTGTGATTCTAATGATAATTGAGTGTCCCAAGAAGTGTAGGAACTCATCTTGCGTTCAAGCCTCTGTATTTAATGGCTATTTTTAGCCCACTGGCTATGAAACCAGTCCAGACCTGTCCTGTAGTTTCTCTGCTCTCTGGTTTCACCAGCTGGCAAGACCTTTGTAGCTAAAAATAGCTCCTACTGTACCATCTTTAAACCAGGCCTAGTGGAGGAATTTGTAAGTTTAAGAATAGTTGGTGGATGTTGATTAGAGAAAAATAAGTCTATGAAACCTTGTTGTTTAGTCATGTCTGATTCTGCAAGACCCAATTTGGGGTTTTCTTGGCAAAGATACTAAAGTGGTTTGCCATTTCCTTCTCCAGCTCATTTTACAGATGAGGAAATCGAGGCAAACAGGATTAAGTGACTTGACCAGGGTCACATTGCTAGTAAGTGTCTGAGGCTCTATCCATTGAACCATTTAAGCTGAGCCACATTTGGTTTGTCCCTTATCCACCCAAGCTAATAAAGGTTATTCCAGGCTGAGAATCCAAGTAATAACTGATAATTATGGCTGACATACATAGGGTTGACATATTGTGTTAACTCGAATTTGATCTTCACAGTAACCCTACAAAATAGGTAACAAAGACATTATTATCCCTGTCTTACAGATAATGAAACTGAGGTTTAAGTAATTTTCCCATAGTCTTATAACTAATGTAAAGACCAGGATAAGAAAAGAGGTTTTGATTTGTTTTTTTTCCAGACTTTATGTCTAAAACACAAGCATCAGAAGGAAGTCAGACTAATAGGCAAAGAGTACATATTTGCCTAACCTCAGAACCTCCACACAGCCAAAATTAAGCCAGTATATTTTGAAGTTAATAGATCAGTATACTGAGTGTCTGATTAAAGCCTTATTAAAGCTTAAAACTACGCTAAGATTTTTGAGGCACCCTGTGTATTGAATTATATGGAGAGATTTTTTGTTTTTCAGTCATTTCAGTCATGACCCTATACAACTCTCCATGACCACATTTAGGGTTTTCTTGGCAAAGATACTAGAGTGGTTTGCCATTTCCTTCTCCAGCTCATTTTACAGCTGAGGAAACTGAGACAAACAGGGTTAAGCGACTTGCCCAGGGTCTCACAACGATTAAGTGTCTGAGTCTGGATTTGAACTCAGGTCTTCCTGACTCTAGGTCCAGTACTCTATTCGCTTTGACACCTAGCTGCCCCATATGGAGAGACACAAAGACTCAAAAGACAGTCATTTCTCATAAAGAAGTTTTGATGTACTTGAGGAAGGAAGCAAGATTAAAGTAATAACAAAATAAGGCCATGATGCCCTACATGCTTTTATTAAAGGGATTTGTTCTGTGAAGTTTGGATTCAGTCAAAGGGCCGCACTTGAGGACCTAAAGGGCTACATGTGGGTTACTGTCGAGGCTGCAGGCTCCCCACCCCAGGACATTTATTTCTGTGTTAGTTCAAAGAAAGAAGAGTATATTGTGATCTGGAGGCAAGCCCCAGAGTGGCCCTTCTATAGTTCTGTGATGTCGAGAATCGGATTTGGGAAGTTGGACTGGCAAAGCAAAGAATCTGTGATCCCCAACTCCCTTTTCCCATTCTCACAACCAGAGAACTTAAGCAAATGATTAAACCATTTTCTAAAGGGCTCTAACAATTACTAGGTACACACCATGTAATATGGCAGAGAGTACCCCATTTGGTGTCAGAGGAACAGGTTCAGATCCTACCTGTGTGACCTTGGAAAAGTCACTTAAGGGGGCAGCTTGATGGCGCAATGAATAGAGCACCAGCCCCGGATTCAGGAGGACCTGAGTTCAAATCCGGTCTCAGACCAGACACTTGACACTTACTAGCTGTGTGACCATAGGCAAGTCACTTAACCCCACCTGCCTCGCAAAAAAAAAAAAAAAAAGTTACTTAAGCTCTTACTTTTCTCATTTGTAAAATGAAGAGGTTGAACATAACCTCTGAGGTCCCTTTCAGCTCTAAAACTATGATCCTATAATCCAACTATTGACTGAATGTCATTAGAGTATGTGAACACTTGCCAACAGAGAGTAGGATCCCTGAAGGTGCTGACCAGCACTTGTAGAGATATCTTCCCTATCCAGGGGAAATCATAGGTCCATTCTCTTATCCCCTATAACCTTCCTAAAGCCCAAATCTGGCTAAGAATTCAGAAGTCTCTCCTACATTAAAGAAATTAGGATGACTCTGCATTGATCCATAAATATAATAGTACAGTCAGTATTTTATCACAGAAGTATTCCCTTAAGTGGGTCAAAGCAAACTGGGAAAGCATCATCGTGACAAAGGACAATCAGGAAACTTGAGCAGTGAAACAGAGAGAGCTCATTTTCACTGTTCAAAAGGCTAGACTTTCCTATCTCCATATAGGCAATCCCACGTGTCACTGACTCCTCTTCTTTTCTGAACCTTATTGCAGGTGCAGTCTTACCCCTGGCACTAGGTTTGGCCATCACTGCTTTGCTCCTCCTCATGATTGCTTGCCGACTTCGATGGGTAAGACAGAAACTCAAAAAAGCCCGGCCCATAACATCTGAGGAATCGGACTACCTCATAAATGGGATGTACCTATGAGAAACATGTTTCTTAGTGGCTGAGGAAGGTGTTTCCATTGATAATTTATCTAGGTGTCTGATTCTAAAAATCAACATTTTTTTGGACTTGTGCTAGGAGCACTGAGAATATTAAAAAAAAATCCTCGTCAAATCCAAAAACCTTTAGTCTTATTCCTTTTAACTATAGTTAAAATCTCTTCTTCTGACAGTACTCGATAACTATTGATGTGTCTATAGTTGTTCATGGGATTAAAATAAAACATAAGTCAAAGACTGATTATAGTAAGCTGTGCCTGAAAATAGAGATATGTAAGATAATCCGTTCATGCAGGCAATACAGCAGCTCAGGGAGATGGCCATTGTGTGGCAGTGTTAGCATATCACCTCACCCATTGATACAGATTATATATATGTATATGTATATATCCATCTACATATACACAGATATATAGTTATATACACATATTTTGAGAACCAGGGCCAACTAAAAAGTAAATGAAGATTGTGTTGGGCATCCCTAGCCTCCCCTTTCTCTGCTCTTCCTGGCCCTTCTCCATTTTAGGTACTCAGTGCCTTCCCCCTCACTGCTCATCAAAACCTGCTCTCAGGAATAAATTTCATATCAGTCATTTCTACTTTAGTGTGAATTTGTCAACATGTTATCTCTTCTGCAGATCTGTACTTTGACTCTTCTCTTTTGTCAAAAGAAAGGCTTTGTTCTCCATTAAATGAATTTCAAACATCGATGAGCAGGTGGGGGAAATAGGGGTTAGGGGTGAAATAATTATCGGAAACTTGGTTTGAATTTGGATTAGAAGAGGCCATAGAATGAGAGAGAAAAGGTGATGCAGGGGATTAAACTGGAGGATGGGGTAGGGGAGAGAGGTTTATAGAAAGAATTTGCTCATTTCCTTTATTCTAATTTTCTCTTGTCATTGATTCAACAATTAACATTTCTTGAGAGTTCCTAATATGATCCACATTAGTTCTCTGTTATGTCTAACACCTTGCTCTCCTTAAGAGCACAGCCAGGCCATTTATATATTCACTACATTTCAACAGGATTTTTTTGTCCATCAAAGAAAATGAAATCAAACTGAAAAGACAAGCACTTTCAGTGTATTTGCAGGCAAAATATTGACAAAGATGCCAAGCAACTTTAGATAGCCACAGTTCCTTGGTTTAGTAAAACATACCAGTTCTTAGAATTTAACTTTTAAATTCTCTTTTGCTCTATAAATTAACATTTTATAACTTGGACTCAGTCACTCAACATCAAATATACACATTTTAGGACTTGCTAGCATTTTCAGACATAGCCAGAGTCAGCTGACTCAGCTATGCTCTTCAGTCTGCAGGGTCTTGAAAGATTTATATGATTCTGGCACTCATTTAATACTAGGATGACATGACCTAAAGGCTGCCATATTGGGCAGAAATACCATTGGGGATAAACACACACACACACACACACACACACACTGCCATGCTACTTCCATGCACTGCAAGAAACAAACAAAAAGTGTCTGTGAATACCTGTGGCAAATCTTCAAAGTTTTTTGAAAAAACATCATAGAATAACTTATTTAGGTAACCACAGGGCTAGCTGACCCTCTACCAAAAGAGTTTAATTCTGATAGAGATAAATTATCTGATTACAGTATCATAATAGTAAGCAAAACACTAGTTCTGAGGTCAGTGCTGTTCCTGCAACCATGAGTTTGATTTTCAAATCTTTCAACACATTGTGCAAGTAAGACATCATCTCAGCTTCCTGAGAAACTCCAGACATTTGCCAACTATACCTTTAGTACCCAGCAAAGCATTAAGCTTTTCCCAAGGGCAGTTTATAGAGATGTAAATGTTATCTATAATGTTGTGCAGTTTATTTTCATGTGTAAGGATAGCCATAGCCAATAAAACTGAGACAGGTAAGGCATGCATCTTCCTATAGGTCATTTTTTTTTTGTACTTAAAGAATTAAAACCAACTTTAGGATTGCCATGGTATAAAAATACTTAAAATAAGCTGTCTATGTAAAATAATATTGTACCAATAAACCCTATTTTATTCTTGTCTTTTTATATTCTTTTTTATTCAAAATAAATATGACCAAATAGTAGCATTAGATGACTATGTGTACATGTTGATGGAGAGATTGATGGAGAGGATTAAGAGGCTTGAGTGGGTAAAAAAAAAAAAGTCAGGGAAAGATGGGCTCTGTGTCCCCTCACTACCTTGGCCTCCACCTATATCAATTCATTTTTTTTTTTTTTTTAGGCAATTGGGGTTAAGTGATTTGCCCAGGGTCACACAGCTAGTAAGTGTCAAGTGTCCAGTCTGAGGCCGGATTTGAATTCAGGTCCTCCTGACTTCAGGGCCGGTGCTCTATCCACTGCGCCACCTAGCTGCCCCTAATTCATTTTTTGAATGTTGAAGGATATTCTACCACTTTGCAGTACTTTGTATCAAAACCCTTTCTCCATCAAAGTATATTTTTCTTCAGGCTAACCTAAGTCATACTTAGCAGTCCATCTTCTTAGTTTTCATTTCAAGAGAAGAGTTCCACTATTCACTTTCCTGTCACTATAGTGCTACAAGTCTCATGCTATCTTTTTGTGTCTTCCATGAGCAAAATCATCAGAAAGACATGAAGAGGGGGGCCAAGGAGTGGCGTGGCCTGAGATTATTGTGATGTTATGGCAGAAGACATCAGTGAAACTTATTTTAAAAATAATAATAAGTGAAATTGTCTAGGCCTTTAGTTACATCCTGCCCTGAAAAGGACTTGAATGTATTTTTCTACCACCACCCCCACATTTTTAATAGAATTTCCTTCCCACACTCTTCAACAGGCAGAGCCATCCCCAGGATATGTCAAACTGGGACAATGTGTAGTTCCTAGACTGCTATGGGGACCAAAAGACTAAAGGAATGTAGGGATTTAATACGATGGAAGAAAAAAAAAAGGGGTGGAAATACCAGATGGTGCAAAAAGAGACCCAGATTACTCATTTATCAGCATCTTCCAAAACCTGACTCAGCTCCACTTCCTTAGCATTGATGGTGCTCTCTCCCTCCTCAGATTATCTCATTTTTGTTTTATCTTGTATTTATACCTCTCTATTAAGCTCCTTGAGAGCAAAGACTTCTTTCTTTTTCTGCCTTTCTTTTTTCCTTTCTTTCCATGTTATACAAATATTTCTTCCTTTTTTCTTCTCTCCTTTCCTTTTTTATTTTCTTTTTTTCCCTTTTCTTTTCTTTTCTTTCAGTAACCCACTACTTTGAAGGTGGAAGGCCTCAGTAATATTTAGGAAAGGAACTGGACCTGGGATTTCATTGTTGTAGTTCGTTTTTATGTTCATCAGTCAATGAGCATTTATTAAATGCCTACTCTGCTTGAGGCACTGTGCTAAGGATACAAAGAAAGGCAAAAGACAGTCCCTGCCCTCTAGTAGAACACGGTCCAATGGGGAGACAACATACAAGCAATTATGTACAAACAAGGTCTATACGCAATAAATTAGAGATAATCAAGACCTATTCACAGTAAATTAGAGATAATCAACAGAGGAAAGGCACTAGCATTAATAGGGATCAGGAAAGGCTTCCTGTAAAATGTGAGATCTTATCTGACTGTTGAAGGAAGCTAGGGAATCCAAGAGGTAGAGAAAAGAACGGAGCATATTCCAGGCATGGGGGACAGCCACCAAGTTAGGAGATGGAGTGTCATGTGTGAGGCACAGAGAGAAGAGGGGGAGAGATATAAGAAAACGGGAAAGGTAGAAGGGGTTGGGCTGTGAAGGGCTTTGAATGCTAAACAGAGAACATTGGACCCTAGAGGTAATAGCCATTGCAATTTATTGAATATAAAGTGACATAGTGAGATCTACACTGTAGGAATATTAATTTGATGCTGAGTGGAAGTTAGACTACGCTGGGAAGAGACTGGAAGCCGGCAGATTAACTAGCAGACTGTTGTAATAAGGAAGGTCTGCAGCATGGTGTCAGCAGTGTCTGAGGAGAGTAGGGAGACTATATGAGGGATATTAAAAAGGTAAAATAGGCCATGGGCACCAGATTGGATATGGGTAAGAGGAAGTAAGGAGTCTAGGTTGTGCGCTAGGTTAATTGGGAGGATGATAGGGCGGTACACAGAGCTCTAGACTTGAAATAAAGAAGCACTGGCTTCAAATCCTACCTCAGATGCTTTAGCTGTATGACCTTGAACAAGTCATTTAACCTCTGTCTGCCTTGGTTTCCTCATCTGTAAAAATGAGGATAACAATAGTACTTACAGGGTTGTTGTAAGGATCAAATGAGATAACATATGTAAAGCCCTTTGCAAATCTTAAAGCTCTATATGAATGATTATTCAAAGTCTATGATTATTATGGGAAACTTCCTCCATCAATTCAGGTCAGCACCTTCTCTGCAACTTACTCTCTTTTAAAAAAATATAAAATGTTTATTGATATCTTTTGTTTCTCACATAGCCTAAATTTCCTCCTCCTTCTAACTTATAGTCTTAAGAGTTGCATAGAGGGGCAGCTAGGTGGCACAGTGGATAGAGCACCGGCCCTGGAATCAGGAGGACCTGAGTTCAAATTCGGCCTCAGACACATGACACTCACTAGCTGTGTGACCCTAGGCAAGTCACTTAACCTTGATTCCCTCGACAAAACAAAAAAAAAAAAAGAAGGAAAGAAAAAAGTTGCCTAGAATACTGAGAGGTTAGTAAGTGACTTGCCCAGGGTCACAAAGACTCTATGTATCATGGTCAGGACTTAAACTTAGACGTCCCTGACAAAAGCCATCTCTCTCTATACACTGTTCCAGGCATGTCCTCCTAATAGAAACTGGTGGAATGGAATGGCAGAGCATAAAATAGAGCACTCCAAATTCTCCTTTCACAGGAATCTGCCTCTCAGACTACTCAGTGACTCTTCTTCTATCATAGCTCTACTTTGGTTGTTGCTTTTCCCATGACCCATCTGCCTCTTCCTGTCCATTCTGTTAGTGTTAAGAAAAGCTGTCTCCTTTGATGCTAACTTGCAACAAATTTTTCGTACCAACCCCTGGAAAGAGCACACTATGATTTCTACCCATGGCCCTGAAAGGCCCTAGAAATAACAATAGCCATTATTAACTTTCCTCACTCATATCCCACCAGTGTGCCTTTGTACAATCTGTCCTTGCCTGGAATGCACTCCCTTATCTCTCTTCTTCTGAGGACAACTAACTTCCTTCCAAGTTCAGCTCAAACCTGCCTATACATGAGCCCCTGTTTTTTAAGTCCTCCCTTCCCCCCCCCACCCCCAAGTCCCACTGCTACTGCTTCCAGATTCAAAATTCATTGTAGTTATTTTGTGGCTGTTTGACTTATATATGTATTGTTGTCTTCCCCTACAGAATGTCCTTAGGGGCAGGTTATGTTTTACTTACGTCTTTGTATTCCCTGTGCCTAGCGTGGTATCTGGCACATAGTAGGCATTTAATAAATGCTTGTTGATTAACTGATTTGTTTGGTGTTTTAAAACTTAAGAGCAATTTATGTAGGGGCCCTACTGCCATCATAACTGACTGATCAACTAATAGCATTGAGCATGGGATCACCTAGCAGAGTCTAAAATTATGCTTTGAGATCATAATTTCAATTTTTTAAAAAAAATTCTCATTTTTCAGAACAAAATTTATTTCATGTTTTGGTTTTATGGACTTGGCTGCATTGATCATTTATGTTCATTTTCTATGAATTCCACATCTTGCTTGAATTTTGTTTCCAAAACTGATCCTTATTAGCTTACAGATAAGGGAAGGTGGTTGGGAATTACAGTTCCTAGATTGGAGGGAATTGTTGGTTGGTTTTTGTTATGGTTTTGGTTTTGGTTTTGGTTTAGGTTAATTTTTATTTAATTTTTATTTTTGCAAACTTGCTGTTTAAACAATAATTTTGTTGATTCACTCTTGGTCCCAGGCCCATGAATGTAGGCCCCATTCTTCCTGGAACACTACCCTATTATATTCTGAGAGAATATTCTAAAGATAAAATGAACATTTTAAATTACAGCAGTAACCTTCCTACACAGTCAATGTTGAGTTTGTTTGGAGGAACAAGTGAAACCAGATGCTTAGAGATGAGCATTACCTACTCTCACTGAGATTTAGACCTCTGTCTTTACTATCTGACTGGAAATTGTGGGATATCACACCCTCCAAAGAATCAGAATTTTGGACCACCAAAGGACAATTGAGAAACTCATAGTGGGCATAGATTGCAGTATATTACCAATAATGAAATGTATCCAAAAAACAGTATAAAATATATCACCAGTGAAATATAGGGCTAGAAAAATAGATGGTCCCTAATGTATATAGTATACCCTATGGAGCCAGTCCCCAAACTGGACAATAGCCTGCATTGGTTGGCATCCCCATAGGGCCACTACTACTATTTTCATGATTATAGTAGTAACCTTGAGGTGCTGGATTTATAAATCCCCATCAGGGTAATCCCCATTAACAATCAGACAGATATAATTAGTTTTTAGAAAAGGTATTTGCCAAAAAGGTACGCAATGAACAGTTAATACAAAATATTATCTCCTCAAACCCGGGGTGCATTCTCCCACAAATTCACACAAAATTCATTGAAATAATGAGCTAAAACTTAAAGTACGATAGTAGTGAGATATGCGTACAGAGAACATGGGTGGTAAAGGGATACTTCCCAACTCCTGGCCCAGAAGTCCTTTTCTCTCCTTAAATACTGCTCTCTGCGAGGCTCTGAAGCTCAGTGCTTTTCCAGCACCCATAGTTAGCGCTTCTCTCTACCACGAAGGGTCCTGCTCCTAAAGCTGCTGCTGTCCTAGAGTTATTGTCTGTTGGCATCCATTGAAGGTGTTCGCTTTGTCATTGGCTAATGATGGGCACTGCAGCTTCTATCACCAATGGAACCTCTGCATCTTCTGAACTCACAAGATTTCTACCTGGACGTGTCTACCTACAGGCTGCTGCTCAGGGAAGCAAACATCAAAGGGATTGGGATGACTGCCCTTGGCTAGTTTGGGAGACAGGG